TGTGCGAACCAGCCCTGCAACCCGTAATCCTGAAATGGGAAAAACAGGAACGGGGGGGAAAGCGTGGGGCAATGCGTTTTGGGATGGAATATCACCTTTGGAAGCCTTTCCCCCCCTCCTACTCCGCCACTAATAAGGGACAAACGCTGGAACAAAAGGGTTAAATGCCGGTTGTGTTCGGATAAACAAAGCTGCGGGAGATGAAGCAGGTGCCCTGCCAGCTGACACCCAGAGCAGCCAGGATTTGGCACTGGGGAGAAGATCTAAAAGGCTGCTCTGAGCTCCCAGACTCGCCGTGCTCGGGCTGTTTCTTGGCTGCAGCTCTGCCGGTCCTGTCCACTTGAAATCAGGAGCAACAATTGCTCCTGTCGGATTTCTCACCAGCTGGAGCGTAGCAAGGAGTGAATTCTGTTTTCCTGGTCTCAGGAAATAAAAATCGAGGAAGAAAGTCTGATAAATGTGCAAGGAAAGGGTAGGAAAGGGCTGGGTCTCTGCCAACAACTCAGTGGGGAGCCTTTGGCAAGTCCTTTGACTTTTTTTTTCCCCTCCTCCTTCTTTCACCTTTTCATACAGAAAACAGAAATAAGCAATATTTTCAGTACTTGGCCTTTGGCAATTCAGCATTCTGATGGATATTCTCTAGGATCTCTAAGCATTACTGGAAATAACACCTAATTAATAATGTCAATTAAACCATTAATAAAAGATTTGCATTTCTTCCCAAAGAGTGACGCTTAGAGTCTGGTCAAACAGTGAATAGCACAGTCTGTCAATGTGCTGGAGAAACCACCCTGTGTCAAGGATAACAATGGCTTTTTCAGGAGTTCACTGAGAGCAGGTCTTGATTTAATAAGTGGTGTTGTAAAACACTGTTTAATAGCTGATGTTGTGTCCCTATGTCTCTATTTTGGGTTCAAATACACGAGAAAAGCACAGGTGTCATTCATGTAAGACAAAAGATCATGATATTTAAGATGCAATTATCATAGAATAATAGAATTATAGAATGGCTTGGGTGGGAGGGACCTTAGAGACCATCTCCTTCCACCCCCTGCCATGGGCAGGGACACCTTCCACTAGCCCAGGTTGCTCCAAGCCCCATCCAGCCTGGCCTTGGACACTTCCAGGGATCCAGGGGCAGCCACAGCTTCTCTGGGCAACCTGAGTCAGGGCCTACCCACCCTCCCAGCCAGCAATTCCTTCCCAATATCCCATCTAACCCTGCCCTCTGTCAGGTTGAAGCCATTCCCCCTCGTCCTGTGACTACACATCCTTTTCAAAAGTCCCTCAAAAACGTAATCCTTGAATTAATCCTCTGAAAAATGGGTTTCAGGTCAAAATGCGGATGAAAATCATATTTTATTTATTTTTCATTTCTGGAAGAGCAACATATTTCTTTATACCATCCTGTAATCACGTCAATGGGTTCCTCTTCATCATCAGTGAAGTTTGACGCCCCAGTTCCTTGGTGTTTGTGCCCTAAGGGTGAGGACACTGAGAAGCTCCTGTGGATGCCCGTGCAGTGAGGGGCCCTACAGTCCTGCCCACCCAGCAGGAACAAATTTTCTGCGTCAGAAAGGCACTTAAATGAAAAACAACCCCAAAAAATACCATTTCTGGGTAATAGTGTGAAAAATGGGAGGGACTGACCTGTGTCTGGGCTTCCCTACAACCCCAGCTCAAGTGCAAGCTCAGGTTCTGCCCCTGCATGTGTAAATATGTTAAACACAGGAATAATTCCATGTGAATTCCAGTGCATTCTCCTACAGGTGGGCAAACACAGCCACTGGAATGGTTTTCTCTCAAGTAAATACCCATATTTTGGGGCAGGACACACAAATATACATTGTCTGACAGAAGGGCAGCACACGGGAATTTAAAAGTGTTACAGGGAATTTAGAGAATTTCAGATGGTGGCTGAATGTTCCCTCATTGTGTATAAATAATATAAATATAAATATAAATATAAATATAAATATAAATATAAATATAAATATAAATATATGTTTGTATATGTGCACACAAATATAATGGTATATATGTGTATGTTATTCCATCATTTAATAGATGGACTTTTGACTTTTAGTTGTAATTCAGGGCATGATGTTCAATGTAAATCTAATTGACTTTCCAGTAGCTTATTAGGGAAAATTAGGTTGATGGATCAAGCCTAAAAGCCTATACAGTCAAAGGTTGCACTGGAACCATCTTCAGTGCATTAGCAGGGCTTAGATATATAGAAAAATACCTTAATAAAAGGCAAGTTTGCCCTTAGAGCAATCAGAATATTAACTTTGTTCAAAGTGGGAATCCCTTCATAATGCCCAAACACAGTGAAATGCAATAATAATTTGGGTATATATATACATAAATATCACTATAAAAAAGCCTATTCATGTCGGAAAACCTAAATTACTATGATGATTCAGTGTTATTATGGATGTCATGGAATTCAAAATGAACTCAAATCTAATATTTTAACATCAATGTGCCTTACTACTACCTATATTTGGAGTGAAATGAGGGTAATTTTTATTTCATAGATTATAGGGAAAAAAAACACCTTTAAAACATTTAAACAGAAGAAAAATATCTTTTTGTTTGGTTGGTTTTTTCTGAGCCATTCAGGATGCCAGGAACATCAGGCTTCAATCCATTCAGCAGTGACCTGGTCTTTCTCCAGAAAGAATTCTGGACATTTTTATATGTCCAATTACTCCATAAATGATGAAATAAAACTGGATTTTTGTGAGTCAAAGAGGGAGTTTTTTTTTTTTAGTTTTTCTTGCAGCTTCTTCTGGCCCAGTTTTTGGGGGTCCCTGTAAGGCCTAGGCTGGTGTGTGAGGTGACCTCATATGAGGTTCCACGAGAGCTGCTGATGTGAGTGGCTGTCCCACGCTGTGGAAGACCCCAGGAAGGACAGACATAAAACAGCAGTGGTTTGCTCATTGATCCTCTGATTGCCAACTGAACCCACTGGTAAAAACCCCCACACCACAACTTATTATCTGTATTCTGAATTTGGATTTTACCACCACGTGTCTGAGCCGTCTCACTGGGGTTTGGTAGATTTTGGTAGCTGGCAAACAGCTCTGTCCAAAATATTCTGCAGAGCCATCCCCTGTTACTCTGCCAAAAACCTGGAGCACAGCCCCAGCTCTGCTGCAGCATCTGCCTGGTCACTCTGGTGCAGCAGCTGAACAATCCCTGCTGGAAAAGGTTTGCTCAGACCATTGGTGGCTTCTCCTCAGAATTTTCAGGCTTACACAACATTTGCAACTACACAAGAGTTAGAATTATGGGATCACAGGATATCCTAGGTTGGAAGGGACCCACAAGGATCATCCTTGTCCAGCTCCTGGCCCTGCACAGCACACCCCAACAATCCCACCCTGTGCTCTGAGAACCTTGTCCAAACCCTCCTGGAGTTCTGGCCCTGCCCACTGCCCTGGGGATCTTCTTCAGTGCCCAACCACCCTCTGGGGGAGGAACCTTCTCTAATATCCAACCTAAATTCTCACATGTAAAATCCTCTCAGCAGCTGGAACTGGGTAGACAAGGCAGGAGACCAACAGTGTTCCCACCACATCTTTCAGTGCTCACCCCCCAGAGTCAGTGGTGTGGTGGGTGTGGAGGTTTGGTGTTCAATACATCCATCCACAGTCACAGGACAGCCTCCCTGATGCTTCAGAGGGGTTTTCTGGACTCCCTCCACCATCTCCACATTAAACCCTCTTTTTTTCTACCTCAGCAAATAAAGAAAGACATCTGATTTATTATAGAAAAGAGAGAGAACTCGATTGATTTTAAATTGTTACATGATGAGGAATTTGAGAAAGTATAATCTGGAAAATGCATTTTATGCTGCACTGAATTATTGCAGATCCTTCAACACTTTCTCTTTTCCCATAGGATCAAAACCAGATTTTTTGGGGGGGGATTTTACTGTTAGCAAAAACCTTCTCACACAATCTGAAGGTTTCTCCAATCCCTTAATTAATACTGGACCATCAGGGTTAAAAGAGGAGCCACCTGGAGCCCTGTGGTCTCTCCGGAGGGTGCAGAACTGAGCTGCTCAGAGCATTCCACCCGCTGCAGTGGTCACTGAAGTGCTGGAAATGTTTTTGGCAGCCGCTTCCCGAGGCCCCTGGGTGTCTGTGCACGATGCAGCAGCACCACCCCATGGCTTCTGCATCCCCAACACCCAGCTGAGCCACTGAGGGGCCACGAAAGTCTGACTTCAGCCCTTTTGGGAATTAAATACTGCCCATGTTGGGTGGGAAATTGGATCTAGGGACTCCCAGCAATATTGTTTTGAAGGATAGAAGGAAGGAAAAGGAAAAGGAAAAGGAAAAGGAAAAGGAAAAGGAAAAGGAAAAGGAAAAGGAAAAGAAAAAGAAAAAGAAAAAGAAAAAAAAAGAAAAGAAAAGAAAAGAAAAGAAAAGAAAAGAAAAGAAAAGAAAAGAAAAGAAAAGAAAAGAAAAGAAAAGAAAAGAAAAGAAAAGAAAAGAAAGGAAAGGAAATAAAGAAAGGAAAAGGGCATTTTTGTAATGCAAACCCAAATTGTTATCACTTCATGTTGTAACATCTGCACTTTTAGTATACAAAGCACCGTGGATTTTGGTACAGTGGGTTTTTTTTTTTAAGTGTGTGGGTCTTTCTTATTTCAGAACCTTCTCCCTCATCTAAAAACATCAAAAAGAAAAGGAAAAAATCCTCAGAAAAAAAAGCTCCCTCATCTATTTTTCTTATTGTTCCTGGAGTTTGATCAGACTTCCTGATAACCAGATATTTAACAATCCAGTGCAATCAACCATCTTCTGAAAACCACTTTCCATTCACAGAAACACAGGACTGATAATGAAATAGAGATTTAAACTTGCAGTTCTTCTTTGGGCTCTGCTACACCCATTCCTCTTCTGGGAAGCAAACTGTTATCAACATTACATTGCAAACCACTACCAGGAAAGAATTAATTACTTTTATTCTTCTCATTTCAGGTTGGGAGGTGGATAATTTGGGGCAAACCCACGCAGGTAAGAACCAGTTGTGCTGCCAACCTTTTAGGTACCTCTGTCCTCAAAAACTGTGCAGGGCACATGGAAATATCAGATTATTGGCAAGTTGGTTTTGTGTTATGACATTTAGTTCTTTGTAACTCTCAGATAAAAAGTGAAATTAAAAATCACATAAATCTTTATAAATCAATGTGATTTAACCCAAACCCACAAAATTAAATTATCTTACTAAAACCAACTAATTACTGCTTTTTGTCATTGATGGATGAAAACAATTTTTCATTAACTCTCTGAAAACTGACCAAATTTAAATACCTATGGTTTATAAATGTAAATTCCTAAAGATACAATATTTGACTTCTATATATAATTTAACAATCAAATTTTTTCCTGGTTTGGTTGTCTGTGTTTTTAGCTATGTGCTCACTGTTTGCAGAAGCAATCTTCTAATTTTAGAGGTTCAACTGTGATTTAAACTCACAAGTAAAACCGTGTTTACTTCCTGAGAAGACAGAATCAAGGATTTATTGCCTTTGGGCCTCATCTAAACCAATAAAAATCAATTGCATCCTATTCACTGATTTCCACAGAGACCAGTTTGGGTCCTAATAGAAAACACAGTCAAAACAATTTCATACCAAATTTCCACTTTTCCAGGTGATTATGACCTGCTGGAAAGCACAGCCCAGTCTCCCCTAGGTAAGAAAGAAAACCAGAGATTTTTAATTTTTTTTTCTCTCTTTATTTATCTCTGTTCAAAAGGAAGCTCAGAGTTTTTTTTTTTTCTTCTCTGCCATTTTGGTATTATTTTTCTAATCAGTGCTAATTATCATGACATATTTTCTGCTGTGTTACTTTTAGCAGTATTATGAGAATTTATTCCTCCACTGTTAAGCCCTGCAATCGAGGGAAGCGTGTTGCTAGAAATGATATCTACCTGCTTAACAGTAATTACTAAATGGTGCTAAAGACAGTCAACACCACGATTCACTTGTTATTTCCCACAGAAAACTAGGGATGAATGTGCAGGAGTCACTTACCCAAATTTGCCAAGTATTGCAATGTTTTTCGATGAATGCTGTGATTAAAGAGATTTATTCTGCTGCATGGATGGCAAAGCCATCCTCTAAAAATAAGGTCATGAGCTGCTTGACTAAAGTGCCCCGAGAATTCAAAGCAGCACAACCCTCATAACAAAAACCAAGCCCAAACCTCGGAAATTTCCGTCAGTTTTGGTCAAGGCACAGCTGAAACTCCGAAAACTGCAATAAATGGAAGCTGTTTTGTTGTGCTGGGGAGGAAGGAGTGCAGCCAGAAGCCCAGCCCTAGTTTTTTTTAACCAGGGCACTGAGCTCTGGCAAGATAATGGTGCTTTAAAAGGGCATCACAAGGCCTGTCCCACCTCAGGCAGCCTCGTAGCAGAGTGAGTGTGAAGAGATTCCTTCCTCTTCTACCCCCAGCTCTTGTTTCCCAGTGCAGTTTTAAGCCTCAGTGTGTCAGTGAAAGCCAGGCAGGATCTAGTCCTTATAGCAGATCAGGCAAAAACCTGGGTATTTAAGCAAATAGTTGCTCAAAATTGAGCCTACAGACCAGAATTGGAACAATTAATAGACAGAGGAATGTGAGAAGCTCTGAGCCAGGTTTTAAATTGCCAACTGACAATTTACACCACGTGTAAATGAGCACAGTGCCATGAAGACAGAGATTGGAGAGAGATTCCCACTCTACCTTTCCTTTTTCTGCAGACCTCTTTTCCTGCAGACCTTTCCCAAAAATTCACTGTCAGGTCATACTTGCAGATAAATGAGTGGGATGCATGATATCTGACCATAGGAGAGCAAACCATCTGCCTCACCGTGGATTATACAATGGTTGGTTCGGATATCCCACATATCCTGCCTGGTTCCAGCAGCTGGTCCAAGCAAATCACATTGGCCTTATGTTTATTCTCCAGTCCCATGCATGTGCCTCAGATAGACCACTTGAAATAGCACAAAGGGAGCCTTGGACTTACCCTTTGGCCACCTGAACCGTGGATGTCCAGAGTAAAGCTGCATTCCCGAAATGCCTTTCAGGATCAGTGGAGAGAACTGCACATTTAGCTGCCCCCTGGTTTAGGTACCCACTTGAGAATGAGCTTTTTGGTGGCCTGGAGCCACTGAATACTCTGATTACATATTTTTTGCTCTCTGCTGACCAACTTCAGTCATTGCCAGCCACGGGTAACTGGATGATCAAAGATGCCATTACATGTCAAGGTTAAAATCATTTAATGGTTATCCAGATAAACAGCCTTTCCAGCAGAACTGCGGGTTTTCCTTTTCAAGGGGAGGGAGGGCATGTCCTGGAGTCTGCTCCCAGAGTGTCACATTCCCAATTTGGCACAGGGGACATCAGCAGGAACTGCACTGAGGACGGCTGGTCGGAACCTTTCCCTCATTATTACGACGCCTGCGGCTTTGATGAAAACGAGACAGAGTCCGATAACCAGGTGGGAATTACTCCTGGAATGAAAAACAAATGAAGGGGGGAGGGGGGAGCAGCAGCAGCACTGCTTTTTGCCCAGCCTCTGGTCATGTTATGATTTGATAGTGATAAGAATAAGCAATCGGATATTTAAATAGGAGCTTTAAATCCTTCTTAGCCTGGTACTCAGTATTTACAGAAGATGAGTTTTTACTGTTGATGCAGCTTGTAACTTATAGAATCGTGGGTTAACCTGAAATTCTTCCCCTATTGACTAAAGAATTCCTTGGCCAACTACTTTTTTCCTACAGGTACGTACACAGTGATCAAAAACAAAAAAAAATACAGATAGCTTTTGGTAGCTCTCTGACAAATAACTTCATGGTACACAGAGCTGAGGGCACAGCTGACACAGAGCAGAGCTCTGCTATCCAGTGGGATTTCAGGGGAAAAAGAGGAGAAACCAAGCTGTTGGAGAAACAAATCCTGCCTCTGGTTCCCCCTGAGTGTTGGCAGGGCAAGGAAGATGTGGCTGGAGATGAACCCTTTACCCACGTGTTGTTGTTTGCCTCCCAAGGATTACTACTACCTGTCTGTGAAGGCTCTGTACACCGTGGGATACAGCACTTCCCTGGTGTCCCTCACCACTGCCATGGTCATCCTGTGCCGCTTCAGGTGAGTCAGGACACGGGCAGTGAGCTGTTCAGTCACTGCAGGAGAGAAACTGGAGCTCATCTGTCCAAGCTTTTACCTCCCTAGATGTAGAATATAAGGTAGAAAACCCTATAACTGAGTTGCTCCCCCAGCTTGGACACGCTCCAGTAGTCAACATTTCAGTAGGTGGTAAATGCAGCAGGAGAATCTTTGGGTCTGTTTTGTGAAGCTTCAGGAGGTGCATTGGGCTGGGTCTATTTTATGCTACAAGAAAATGCCCAAATCCTCCCCCTGGCTGAGGTTTAGGATCAGTACTAACCACAGTCCTGGCTTATCAATAATTGCTTTTCTTAGCACCAGGGTGCTCTGGCCAAGTGCAGGTAGGCCCGGTGTGATGTTTCCATCAAATACAACTCTTTCCTTCTTTATTCCTCCCATTTTCCCCTCCCTTCCTCTTTGCTCTCCAGGAAGCTTCACTGCACTCGGAATTTCATCCACATGAACCTCTTTGTTTCGTTCATCCTCCGTGCAATATCCGTGTTCATCAAGGACGGGGTTCTTTATGCTGAGCAGGATGGCAACCACTGCTTCATCTCGACTGTAAGTAGAACTGAAACCTGGATTCTTTCCAGCAGGAGACCAACAGAAAATAGGGATGCAGGCACAAGCCTGTTGGGTATCATAAACTGAGATGCCATTGAGAGAAAAGGGGGTAAACTGCCCTCCCAGTTCACAGCCAAACTGGTTGTTGTATCTCATGACATCATCATGAGCAATCCTTCAGGACTTGGGTTTTGGTTTCTGCTCAGACTGTTTCTCCCTTTCACAGTCTGCAGAGCTGTAGGTGGGATGAGAGCAGGCTCAAGCAATTTCCTTCCTCTGCAGGTCTGGTTTTCCTCCAGAGCCCCGTTTGTTCTGGATGTCAGGCACAGTCATGTGTAAACAGGGTGACCATTCACACAGAAAATGCATCTGATGCTCACACTCCCAGCAAACCATTGCTATGAGCCACATGTTTGTCTCTGAAGTGTGGAGGTTCATGAAAAGCAGTCCCTTTCACAGATGCATTCAGCCCTACATTATGTGTAAATCCCAATTTCTTTCACAGTTCAGGCTGGTGTTTGATATGATAAATCAGCTCACTGGGTGTAATTATGATGGAATTACAAACTGACTTCTCCTTTATCCATCCAGTTATGAGCTCAATTCCCTATGAGTCACTTCCACAAGGAAAATGCAGCTGTGTAGTTTCTTAGTCAGCCTTTTCTTTGTCATTGAAACTGCTTTTTGCTCTTAATTCTTCTCTGTGGTAAAGCTGAAGCCATGTTAGTTCTGTAGTTTGTTCCTACCACTCTTCCAGGGGTGGCATCTGCCTCTTTGTTCTGAAACACTGGAAGAACAGTGCACATCAAACCCACCATTCAATCACCAGATCCTCCTGGCAGAGCTGCTGTGAACAACCCCAAGATCTGGTGGCTGAAACACACTGGTTGTAGATTTGGCCCAGAGGGTGGAGGGCAGGTGGGAACCAGCCAAAATTGCCAGGCTTCCCCTGCCCCAGGCAGGAGCTTCCAGTTTATCCACTTATTCTTCCCTTATTTGTTGAGAAATCCTGGTTTTGTAGGACTAAAAACATCTAAAACATCTAAAAACATCACTAAGGTGCAACGCTGGAAAGACCAGAGTGTCCTGCTCTCACAGAGTCAGGGCAGAGCTCGTTTTCCTCCTTAGGGTTTTGTCAGAGAATCACAGAATGGTTTAGTTTGGAAAAGCCCTGTGAGATCATGGAGTCCAACCATTAACCCAGCACTGCCAGGTCCACCACTACACCATGTCCCCAAGTACCACATCTACAGGTCTTTTAAATACCTCCAGAGAGATTTTAAACACCCTGGGCAGCCTCTTCCATGGTTTGACAACCCTTTCACGAAGGAATTTTCACTAATATCCAATATAAACCTTCCCTGGTGCAATTTGAGGCCATTTCCTCTTGTCCCATCACTTATTACCTGGGAGAAGACCTTGCTACAACCTCCTTTCAGGTAATCACAGGGAGTGTTAAGGTCTCCCCTGAGCACCCTTTTCTTTGGGCTAAACAAACCCCTTCTTTCTAGTATTTTTTTATTATTTGCTGCTTTCTCTCCCATCAATGAATGAAAGTTTCCATTATTTTTTACAGTTAATCACTCAGCCTTCTTTCCTCTCACACTTACTTTCATTTTTTCCTCCTTGATAATGTCAAGGAAGTGCAAGTCCCACCTGCACTCAGAGCCCACTCTCAGGGCTCCCCACAGTCCTCCTGCCACTTCACATCCCCAAAACACAGCCAGATCCTTTTCTTCCCTGCTCTTCATCCTCGGGAGGGGGCTTCAATCTCGCACTCAGTGTTCACTGAGCATGTGAACTCCCCCCAGGGCAAGACTGTCTGCCTGCAGATGCTCCTTGACCACCTCCCACTGGCCAAATCACCCTCCTCCCCTTTCAGGGGTACCTCCCATTCTTCTCCTTCTTTAAAAACTCCACCATTAACAGTGTGCAATCCCAGCCCCAGCTCTTTCCACGAAGAGATTTGAAGAGGTTAAAAGCATTTTTTTCTCACTGTTAGACGGAAGCAACGTGTTAATAACTTTGTTTCCTCTCCTCTCCCTGCAGGTGGAGTGCAAAGCAGTGATGGTGTTTTTCCACTACTGCGTCATGTCCAACTACTTCTGGCTTTTCATCGAGGGGTTGTACCTTTTCACTCTGCTGGTGGAAACCTTCTTCCCAGAGAGGAGATATTTCTACTGGTACACAATTATTGGCTGGGGTAGGTGACGTTTCTGGTCTAAAATGTGATGTTTCCACACACATAAAGCGTAATTTTAGTCTTCGTGTGGAAGGAGGTGCCTCTGTGTTGTGCTTTTTTTTTGTGTCTGAATAGAGTTGGACTGAAATCTGGGGGACACCACACCTCTTGCAGAGATGAGAAAATTGCCTTCTGCAAGATATGATCTTAATATCAAGCTCTTCATCTTAATCAAATCTGCAATCCTAAGCCCAGTCCATTTGCTGAGACTTCGTTTATGCCTTTCTTCCAGATAACAACTAAATTGAAAATATACCCAAAGGGTATTCACATATGCTCATCCTACCTGGATGGGAAATAAGAGCTTGCAGTGGGAAGGAGCAAGATTTCTTTCAGAAAGGCCAGTTGCCTGATGATAATCAGTGTAATTGTTTTTCATTCCAGCCTTCTGGAGATAAATTGATTCCTGTGACGTGTTAACTCAAGCAGTTCTTTGCTGATGTCTTTGTGCAGGAGTCAGATGGTGAATGCAGAAGAATACATTCATTCAAAATGTACCCTGAGAATGCTGAACTCGGTTTTTATGCTTAAACATCCTTCTGAAATAATTAGAAATAATCCTGTATATTCATGTGTAAAGCCTACACAAAAAAAAACCCCACAACCATGTCTTAAATTTTTCTCCTTTGTAAAAAAACATCCTTATGGAACCTGAACCTTCAGATGATCCACAGATCATTTTGTTTTCCCCTTCTGAGGCAGCTGAACATACACAAAAATTCCCATCTCCTGGCAAAGACTCCCTACAGCAGGGAGAAAAAGGCACAGAGGAGGTGTAGAAGTAGAGAAGGTAAAGAGAGGATGTAGAGAAGAGAGAAAGGAACAAATAATCATAAATAATCTATGGCATAAAACAGCTGTTGGGAAAGGGTGATTACTGGAAAAGGCTTTTGGAAAAGAAACCACTGGAAAGGGTGTTCAAAATTCCCTTTGTACATGCACAGATGTGCAGTCCCATTATAGCTGAGGCATAAGTGTGTCCTCAAAGGGAAACTGGGGGTTATGTACATGAAAATGTGACAGTTGTAAAAGAAAGAGATGTATAAATCTCTGCAATCTGAACAAGCCAGAGGCTGCTGGCTTCCTTTTATTAAGTTTGCACAGTTTTCCTATCTGTAGGTTTGTCTGAAGGTGGGAGTGCTGCAACACAAAATATATTAACTGACACTCATTTTTATTTTTTTATTTTTAAATCAGTCTTTAGAATGACTGATCTACCCAGATGGATTCATTCTGTAATGCAGCTTCACAATATTTAATTTTCAGTTGAATACCATAAATAATATCCAGCTGTTCAATTTACAGATATCATAGAATCCTACAATGGTTAAAAACCATCTCATCCCACCCCCCTGCCACGGGCAGGGCCACCTTCCACCAGACCAGGTTGCTCTGGGCAACCTCTGCCAGGGCCTCTACACCCTCACAGCCAGGAATTCCTTCCCAATATCCCATCTAACCCTGCCCTCTGGTAGTTTGAAGCCATTCCCTGTGTCCTGTCCCTCCATGCCTTGTCCCCAGTCCCTCTCCAGCTCTCCTGGAGCCCCTTTAGGCCCTGCAAGGAGCTCTCAGGTGTCCCTGAATCCTTCTCTTCTCCAGGTGAACCCCCCCAGCTGTCCCAGCCTGGCTCCAGAGCAGAGGAGCTCCAGCCCTGGCAGCATCTCCATGGCTTTCTCTGGATTCACTGCAGCAGCTCCACCTTATGCTGAGGGCCCCAGAGCTGGGAAAAGCCTCAAATCACTTCATATTTAAAGCAACATCAAAAATATCCATCACCAGCACTAAGAGAAACTCCAGATGTGGATGGGTTTGTTTGTTTTGGGTTTTTTTAACACAGTTATTTTCTCACCTCCTGCATATTCCACCTTGAGTGGCAGCTCCCCCTGCCCAGGTAGGAGCACTTGGCAGGAACCAAAGCACTCCCAGACTCTGGATGCAATTCCTGCAGGGCCAAAGCAGCCCCTCGGCTCAGAGCTGGTGGGGAGGGAGTTGCACTGAAGCAACAACAACAACAACAAGCAAGAGCTCAGCAATTTACAGCATCTGGACGTTTATCTGCGTCTGGAAATGTGCTGAGCACGTCAGTGCCCTCCTTTGATTGATGAGAGCTGCAGATGGCTCTGTTGATGCAGGCAGTTTGTTTCTCCTCACATCTGCAGCGTGCTGGGAAGTTCTCTGGACAGACTGCTGCCTTCCTGGGATCTCTCCCAGCGCCTTCCCAGTGCCCAGGGCAGGGACAGAGCCAGCAGGGAGAACTCTCTGCCCAGCCCTTCGGGCTCCTGTGTTTTCTTAAGTTACTCAGAAGGTGAAAAGGAGGTGATGAAGAGGCATAAATCTTTTGATGTAAAGAAAAGTGATGTGGGCCTATGTATATTCATACAGCAGATGGTTCAAAGCTCCAGGCTGATCTGAAGTGTGGGGTTTTTTGAACTGTATTTTTAGGGCACATTTAGTTGAATTCTGCCCTCCTGCACATTTTTTGGGTTGTTGTTGTTTGTTTGTTTGTTTGTTTGTTGTTTTGTTTGTGGTTTTGTTGTGTGGTTGTTTTTTTTGTTTGTTTGTGTTTTTTTTCAGATTTGGAACACTATTCATGGCATCCAAATTTATACAGTGCAAATCAGTGCAAATTAGGGAAAATATGAGAGCTATGTGTCAGAGAATCAGAGAATCCCAGGATGGGTTGAGTTGGATTGGGTTGGGAGGGAGCTTAAAGCTCATCTCATTCCAACCCCCTGCCATGGGCAGGGACACCTTCCACTAGCCCAGGTTGCTCCAAGCTGGCCTTGGACACTTCCAGGGATGGGACAGCCACGAGTTCTCTTCGATGTTTCAAAATTAATTTGATAAAACTGAGATTAAAGCTTGCTGTTTCAAAATTCATTTTGCTACTGTGCAGCTGATAAGGGCACAGAGATCTCCGTGTTTTCCAGGTATTCACCTGTGAGAGCAGAAGACTTCAACTGAAATTAAATATCCATGATTTCTCCTCCCCAAAGCCTGTCATTTTATCTCTTTATATCATCTTCCTTTCAAATATTCCTCCACGTGCTTATTTAAAGGAGGAGGGCTCTGTCAGTCATTTGGGTCCAACAGGGAAATTTGTATTTCTGGGAGTGGGAACATGAGATTTGACAGAGACTCATCTAAGTGGGTTCAATCAAGTGACTAATTAAAGTGACATCAACACAACCTTGCAAAATATATGGAATATAATTGTTCCTGTCAGTTTAGATCAGTCTCACTCACTGCAGTGAGTGGGGTTATCAATGATCCTGGTTTTGTTTGCTTTTTAACACTTCATTTTTCCAGTGGTGCCTGAATAGATGTCAGCAGTTTCCTCATCAAAAATTTTATTTACCATAAAAGGTAGATCCAACTTACCCAGGGTCGTCTTGCAACACTGCATTACTTTATAAAAATATTTGCCCTGAAAAATCACACTTTTAGAGTTTTCAGAAAGGAAAATAAATCCAGGTTTCTCAGCAGATTCTTGGTGTTTTGATTAAATTTGCATTTTGCATGCATTTTTTGAAAGAGTGAAGTAGTACCTGGAATAGAAATGAAATCCTTGCTCCGATATTCTTTCTTTTCAGAATTTGTTGTTTTGTTGTGTTGTTTGGTTTTTTTTAAAGAAAACATTTGAATATTCCTGTACGTAAAAAAAAACCAAAACAAACAAACAAACAAAAACCACCAAAAAAAACCTCCAAAAAAAACCCACAAAAAAACCACAAAACAAAACAAACAAACAAAAAAAAACCACACACACACACAAACTTCTCTGTTGATTTGTTTTGGCTGAATAAGTAAAGGAAACTCAGTTATTTACACAAATAACAGACAAAATGCAGCATATGCAAATCATTGACAACAAAACCTCCCAAGAATCCAGGGAATCCAATAATTCCACTGCAGCCCGACATCTGGCAGCGCAATGATTGCATCATTCCAGCAGCTCTAACCAGGATGTCACCGCCCCTGTTCTGTGCAGGTTTTATTTTCCCCTTCATGCAACAAGATTTGGTGCCACAACTTGGAGCAATAATGGCCTGAGGGAGCATCAGTTTTGCCTGTTATCAGTTTTGCTGCTGCAGTCCCTCTCTCCAGCTGAGATGGATGTCTGTAGAGCTCTGAATCAATGCAGTGAATCGCAGGTTTTGGGGCACAAGTGCTGCCTGGAACTTCTCATGGTGTCACCTTCTTGTCCCCTGCAGGTACCCCAACCATCTGTGTCACTGTCTGGGCGGTGCTGAGGCTCCACTTTGATGACACTGGGTAGGTATTGCTGGGTGGGAAATCACTTCCTGTGCCTTCAGCACCACGGCAGGGATGGAAGGGAAATGTAGGGATAGGAGGATGAAAATCATGGAGTCACTGAGGTTGGAAAAGACCTCCAAGGCCATCAAGTCCAACCTTGGATCGATCCCCACCTTTTCCCCAGCCCAGAGCACTGAGTGACACGTCCAGCCCTTCCTTGGACACCTCCAGGGGTGGGAACTCCAAACCTCCCTGGGCAGCCCCTGCCAATGATTAACAACCCTTTAAGCGAAAAAATTCTTGCTGATGTCCAAGCTGCCCTCCCCTGGCACAGTTTGAGACCATTTCCCCTTGTCTTACATTTTCCTTCCGTTTCTGGCATTGTTTTTTTGTGTACCCCAGTAATTCAGGGCCAGTGTTCAAGTCCTGAACCACAGTTTGATGTCTGTGCTGTTACTGCATGGGGGAATTCCCAAAAGAACTGCAGGCATCAAACCTGTAAACCTGCAGCTGACTCAGTTGGCCCTCCATTCCCTGCTCCTATAAATTAATGGAGTGCAGGATGTGGTTTATCTCATCTGAAAAGGGCTGTGAGGTGAATCACACACGCAATTCCTGCTCCTTTCCAGCTGATTATGGAGAAGGACAAAAGGGATGAGCTCAGCTGGAGAAATTGCTGGAGGTATCTCTGATGAAATGAGTGAAACCTGCACAGGGCACTGCTGAGCTTTGATTTCCAGAGGCAAGGACGAGTTCAGCTTCCTACTGAGGAGTGTTTCCAGCAGGGGAGGTGAATAGGGGTGAGACAGAAACCCACACCCTGTGTGAAGAAAAAAAAATTAAAATTTAAATAATTTCAGGAAGATTCAAGAGGGGAGATTGTACCTAAAGCATCTCTTCTGGTAGAGGAAAACAAACCCTGGAAATATCCTGCATCCTTTTCTAAAGGACCTGAAGGAAAAGCTGCTCCCAGAGATGGACCTGTAGATTTTGGGAGCCAGTAGATTGAGTGGTTTGATAGGGCAGCAGAGGTGGCAGATGGGGATGGATGTGTATGTACACCCTGAAAACACAAAATTAGCCATGTTCTTCCCATGGCATTTAGGTTTGAACTTAGTGAAATGTCAGAAAAATGAGGGAGACTGAGTAAAATTTCCAAAATTCATCAGTGGTTCTTCGAAAACAGAACTGAGTGAAAGGCATTTTCTCTATACTGGAGATACCTGGATGCAAAACTTGCACAAGACTCCTTGTTCTGCCAGATTTTCTTCATTTCTTCTTGTTTCAGGCTCTCTGGAAAACACATAAAGCCCTTCCTCCTCTGGGGATGCCAGAGCTCTGACCCAATGTTCTGTTGTGACATTAAGACAAATTAAATCACTTATTTCCATGCAAAACAAGCCAGAAGCCCCTGTTGTGTCATTATTATGATCACAACACTGGTCCTAAGTGCATTAATTCCTCTTAGAAGTCCAAATAGGGTTTTGCAGGTAGAGAGAACTTCTGGCAGAAGGAAAGAAAGAAAGAAAAAAAACCACCTTTATTTTGTTTTACTTAGAGAGGTTATTTAGCATGCAACACATTCAGGCAGATTCTAGCTGAGAGTCTCAGTGGTTACTTTTTAAAAATCAGCAAGCATTGTTCAGGGGGAAGGGGAGAAGCCAACATGAGCCTGAAAACACCACAGTAATCACATCCCTGCCCCTGCCCACGGGCTCCCTTCCCTTCATCCATCCATCCTGGAGAAGAGTCCTGCCTGCCTGAGCTGCACTGTGGTGATGCATCTGAAGGAAATTAGGGATTCTATTTATCTGGAGCAGCTTGTTGGCTGATAAGACAACTGCTCTGTTGTTCTTTGCTTGTTTTTCCTTCTGGTTTAGCTGAGGAGAAGATGATGTTCCTCCCACTCCATCCATCCCACAGGTGTCACAGGCACTGGGACAAAAAACCCTCTGTGTGAGCTTGATCTGATTCCTTGTTGACATCTGCAAGGTAGAGGTTGGAGATTGAGCTCGTCCTGTAAAAGCTGAGGGAAAGGTCCAAAAAGAATAGGAATTTGTAGGGGATGATTTATCTCCCCAGAGCACACATTTAAAATATCTCAGTGTGGAAAAAAAACCACCCCAAAACAACCTCCAAGTGTCTCTTTGTCCCAGCCAGATTCCAGGATAATTAGATATCTTCAGTGGAGATGACTGGAACAGGAGGAGAGAGATTCCTTTCCCTGTAATTTCTCATTTCTACATAGCCAAACATGTATCAATATCTAGCTAAATTAATATCTGAATTTTCCCAGGTCCTTCCAGCATTGGTCGACTTGCTAAAGACTTCCAGGGTAGATTTAATGTCCACTGTAAGGAGGTTGAGCTCTGAAATAATGGGTAATTTTCAGAGGGCAGCTCCTAATTTATAAACACACAAATAATCTAAAAGATAATTTGTGATTTCAGGTGCTTTTTTTGGGGGGAATGCAGTTGTTGATCACTGAAGAGAGTCTGATTTCCAGGCTGTGGATGAGGAGTTCCCTCTGAACATTTATCCACTTCCAAATACTTTAAGTTGGGCATCCACAGTTGAGGGAACTCAAAAATATCAATTTGCATTTGGTGTGGAGTGCATCAGGTGTGGAAAAACAACATTTTTTCATTATTAGTGGTTTCCAAGCTTTAAAAATGTATTTTAACATTAAAACCCTATCTGTATATGGGTCCTATATTTAGCTTTCACTACCAGTAGACATCCAAATGAACCTATGTGGGGTAAACTGCTGGAAAATTCGAAGAAAAATTGGCAGATTTAAAATGCTCAGGTAGAAATGTGATCTTATTTATGATCCCTCATACCCAACAGCTTAAAAAAGGGGCTGACCCCAACTGTTGTTCAGTATTTGAACCTTCCCAGATGAATCCTTGCTCCTCCCTTGATAGGACTTTCATTCCCATATGTGAATCCAACCAGGCTCTGGTACATCCAAATGTGTAAGAATCCTCACATCAGGATTAGACACCCACACTCATATCTGTTAACCCTGGAAAAGCAACTGAGAAATCCAACTTTGGAATAACCATCTCTTACCCTTTGTGGGTATCCCTGTCTTTTTTTTTTCTTTTTTTTTTTATAAGAGAGACAAATTTACAGTTGTACTGTAGGCAAAGAAACACATCTTAAGGCATTTTCCAAAATGCCTAGGTTGTTTAGGAGGAGGCACCATTTAAACTGCCACAAAAATACTTCTTTCACTTTCATGTAAGTTGGGAAAGGCTGTTAAATAAAGGGACAAAGTAAAGAACTTGTACTTTGAACTCAAAGTAATTTAACTACAAGACCAATGTGCCATTTTCTGCCCCCTTCAAAATGATCATAAGGATATTAACTTCTTTGTTATATCTTTTTCTCTTCCCTTCTCTCTGCCCATCCCACTCTCCCCTCGATGGCTGCAGCTGCTGGGACATGAATGACAACACTGCCCTGTGGTGGGTGATCAAGGGTCCTGTGGTTGGATCCATCATGGTAAGTAGGATTTGGAGCAGACACTTCCCCACCTCTCCTGAGGAGAAATAACCAATTAAAACACCTTCAACTACCTTCACAAACAGAGGTGTCTGATTCTGGGCATCCTCAGTTGCTTTCCATGCTCCAGGGACAGCATTAGCCAGGTTTTCAGTGATTCTTTTGGGAATTCAGACATCCAGCTCACAGGAGTTTATGTCAGGAATGGTGATTCTCCTGGGCAGTATTTGGACAGCTCCCTAAATTACAGCGACCTGCAGAGAAATTAGTAACTCAAATTAAATTAAATTAAATTAAAATAAATTAGTAATTCAGCTGATAACAGTGAAGGGGATGAACATGGAACTTCCACGCTTTACAGGCACATTCCATGAAGGATCACATCCTGATTTGGGCAATCATTTATACTGGGTTTCTACTGATAGCATTAAAGAACCAAGAATCATCCAAAGGACAACTGGGCTTCTCCATCCATTTACAGTCCCTGGATCAGAGAGAAAATCCTTCTGAAGTTGATGCACACACTTGCTTTACCTTCTTGGTTCTCCATTTCGGGGGTAAAACTTTGTATAAGGGACCAACTCAAATTTCCAGTGTTCTCTTGTGGCTTTAGGAAGCTTTGGAGTTGGTGGCAGCCAAGTCTGATGCCAGAGCATTGAAAACAAACCTGATTTGATTATTCTCCAAATGTTTAAAAACTGCTAAACTGAGAAGTCCCTTAGTTCAGAGAATGGAAGTTAAAGATATCTCTACTGCTGAGATCTTTGCTGTGAGGTTTTGGTGTGCAGGGATCTCTGTTTTTATTCTCTGCACTGGTTGATAATGAAAAATATCAAAACCCTTCCCTTTGTGTTTCTCTTCTCTTGTTCTTGGGTCTGCAGAAATCCTGAGTCACTTTACCTGCAGGAAGGGGGGATTTATTTGCCTGCAAAAGGGCTGATAAGATGCTTGTAAACTTCTCCCCTTACCTCTGAGCCTGTAAAGCTTCTAGACTGCAGTTTGGAGAAGAAGGGAATGGAACCAGCAAGACACTGGGAATGTCTCATTCATACTTTAAAAAAAAATATCATTGTTATAATTTTTCCTTTTCTTTTTCTTTTTCTTTTTCCCCAGATAAACTTTGTGCTTTTTATTGGCATAATTGTGATACTTGTGCAGAAACTCCAGTCACCTGATATCGGGGGCAATGAATCCAGCATTTACTTGTAAGTACAAATAAAGCAGTGATCAGTTTAAATTCCTCATATACACATAGGAAAAAGAGACAAAATAAATAAATAAATAAAAAAAAAGACACCTCAGCTGAATTAGGTCGATTTTCTAAAAGAGTCATGGGGTCAATTAAATGGCTTTGGTTGATTTTTACTTTGACTTTTTTAATCCATCAGCCACGAAAGGGCATTTTAATGCCAGTGTTTCTCACCTTTCTTAAAAGGCCTAGAAAATAAGCATAAATACAAGATTGAAAAAAGACCAAAACCAAACCAAAACTAACTTTTCTTACAGGTCAGATATCTGGAAATTAAAATACTGACCAGGTATAAACATCATTATTATACTCATGGGACAGTTTGCTGTGCTTCATATGTTCCAGGGTCATGGTCCAAAATTCCCTGAAATCAATGAGATTGGATGAAAAAATTTAATTAACTGTGGGCTGAATTCTGATCTAGGGAGATCCCCTAAAATTGCTCATCTTCATGTTTCTTACAACCTAATTCATTCCACTTAAGCCAAACGATTCCCACACCCCCTAAAATTGTTTTAAAATCCACACAAATCCTAAAATTTTCCTTTAGAAATTTAAAACTTTGTGATTTAAGGGGTTTTTTTGAAGCTGAAATCCTTTTTATGAGTTTCCACCTTGGAAGAAGACAGGTTGGCCATTTGGGCTGGTCTTCATTCTAATTTTGAGTGCAGGCTGTCGTTCTCCTTATAAAAATTATATCAGCCTTTGGAATAACTGGGGTGTGGGGCAGCACATTTGGTGTTGGCTTCTCTGCCTCAACACCCCTCACATTTGATTTGGCCAATTTTTTTTTGTGAGCTTGGATTATTTCTTGCACTCACAAACACTAAATTCCTGAGGAAAAATAGGCAAGCCACGAAAACCTTAAATAAAACCTTAAATAAAACTGAAAGATGTCAGGGGAAAATAAGAGATCCTTATTTGGTAGCAAATACAATTGCCCAGTGATTACTTTCACCCTAAGTAACCACAATCATAATATAATGATGTCCTCCCTTTAAATGGCAATTCTCAGGGAAAAAGATGTCCTCCAGCTGCCTATTTTTTTAATCTTTTCATTTTTCCCCTATTATCTAGTTTGCATTTCCATGAAAAGATAGTATTTTTCTGCATCCCTTTTTCAAATCTGTAGCCAGACATCCCCTTACCGCAAGCGCTGCCCTTGCACCTTGCTCCGAACTCTGTTCCCACAGCCAAAAATAACGCTTGAAATTCGTTCTGTGAGCGGATTCACCTCAGAAATAAAGCTCAGGAGGGGGTGCAGGCACTCGGTGCATGGTTTTCCCAGGGGCTTGCATGAAGACTTCCCATGGATGTGCTGCTGGGAAGCGTCCCCACCCTGAGCCCCCAGGGTGTGCAGAGCTCGCTCTGATGACGACCCCTGGAGTGCATTTTGGGGTTGTGCTGCACATCTGTCACCTATGAAGCAGAGCATGCCGTGGATTCCAGCGGTTTGAGGAGATTATCCTGACATCCTTGTCATCCCGGCTCAATATGGTGACTGGGTTTTCCCGGTGTTTTTTTTTCCTATGTGTATAGTTCGGCCACCAAAGCCGAGTGAAAACATCCTAATTTTCCGTTCCATTCGCTGCCATCGTTCTCCACATTCCTTTGCAACTCCCGGCCGGGGTGTGTATTCAGTGGACCTTGCATTGATGTTCGTGCTATGGAGTGGAGTGTTGTTTATCCAAACAGACCTGACGAGGGGAAAGTCACGCGGGAACGATTAAAAGGGGCGAAATTAATGACTCTGCGCAGATTTACACCAGAGGCGGGAGATATTCGTGCACACAAACCCTGTAAATGAAAAAAGGAGGTTGTTGTAAGGAAGGGAAAAGTCAGATGGCAATCTGGTTCTGTCACCATATTGAAATCTCTGTGGCATTTAGATTGTGGTCCAAATTAAGCATTTTCCATGTTCTACTTTGCCGTTTCAAACTATTATGACATCATTCCATCAGAGCAAACTCTCCATCCACATCTTTATCCCACAACACACTTGAGTGCTTTCCCTTTAGTAGCTGAGGAAGGATTGAGGTCGAGGCAGGATTTTCAGCCTGTTTCTGAAGGTAACACTGCATGGTACCTGCAGCAGGGATTTAAATGTATTGCAATATGATTTATTGGAATAACCCTTTAACCAGCTGGGACTTCCATCAGAAAAAAAAAAAAAAAATGAAGACCCCAAAAACTTGTGACTTGGAGTAGGATTTTTTTTCTTCTTATCTATATGGTACATGTTTAGGTTCAGGTCCTTCTAATGATTATTTTATTTAGGAAAATCTACCTCTGGTTTCATTTTATAAAGATGATGGTCACGGTTCTGCAAGGCACTTAAGCCTGTATTTGACTTTAAAAGCCTTGGGGATGGGCTTAAATTCAAAGATTAATGTATTCATTATTAAAATCTCCCACCAGTGAAGTTCCCTGGGAGTTGTGACAGGACCATGGAAAAGAAAGCTGAAGAACTGAGGATTAAGTAATACAGTGTAGCCACTGGGGAATATAAGACTGGCTTTAAAAAAATCAATCATTTATATCATTTGCAGCACATTTTGAGTGCTTTACTCCTCTAAAAAGATCAGATTTTCTCTCTAAATAACCTGATGATCATTCCATGCAACAGCTGAAAAAAACTTGGAAATATGTGGCTGATTCCTAACAATTTCCTGCAATGATCAAGTGCTTCAGTCACGACAAAATTCCATTTTATCAACTTGTATGTTCAGTCATTCATTACCTTTCTCATGCCTTTAGTTCCCCCTCAGAGCTGCCTGCATGTGCTGATCCCATTCCAGACTGAAGGGCTCAAGAAGTGACTGGAGGAACAATAACTCCACCTTTTTTTTTTACTGATGTTTTAGACAGAAACTCCTCATTATGCCTGAAAATACTGGGAGATAGATCCATCAAAATATCTAAGCAGCTGAGGTAGGAATTCAAAATACAGCAGACACCTTTTTAATGATAATATTATTATTATTTGAGGTTTTTTCCTAAGAACTTTTCATAGTCATCATAATCATTAGTTATGTTTTAGAGTGAGGAGTGAACTGCCAAAGGCATAAGTTTTTTTTCTTGAAACATGTCTGGTTTCAGTTAATCTCATGTCAGTCCTACCAAATTAAGCATCCAACCAAAGTAAGATCACTAATGCAAATGCAATAGATTTTTATCTGGGTTGGAAGTTCTGAAGCCCTCAAGTGCTGGGGAAGCACAAAGTGAGATTGATTGTATTCCCAGAGTAATTAAGGCAGTGATTAAAATGGGTCAGACAGGTTTGTTGCCCCGTCTGGTGAATGAATATCATAAACAAGAGAAATGTGCCATAATTAGAGGATCAGAGAATCAAATGAGCATGATTTGGGGGGAAGGGACCTTAAAGATTATCCAGTCCCACCCCCTGCCATGGGCAGGGACACCTCCCACCAGCCCAGGTTGCTCCAAGCCCTGTCCAACCTGGCCTTGGACACTTCCAGGGCTGGGGCAGCCACAGCTTCTCTGGGCAACCTGTGCCAGGGCCTGCCCACCCTCACAGCCAAGAATTTGTTCCTAAATATCCAACCTAAACCTGCTCTCTCTCTGTTCAAAGCCATTCTCCCCCTGTGACACATCAGAACAAATGACCATGTCTTAAACTGGTACCTGCATTTCCCACCCAGTTAGATTTTACCTGACGTGCTGCCCAACAGAATGAACCACCTGGTTTTCAGCCATCTCCAGCTGCAGTTTGTAAATACTTGGAAGAAGTAGCAGGTTTTTGGGGACAGTTGCACCACCTGCTGAAAGTCTCATGAATCTGTGTGATCTCACAGCTCTGGGGACTGCAAACACACATTCACAACCCTACAACCCCGTTCAGCACAAGGGCTCCACGTTATTTGCATGGATTTATTATATATCAGTTCCTTCCTGGGATTTTATAATAAACTGATCTCACAAGGCTTCACTGTTTTTAGCATGAAAAACCCAGCCAATGATGTGTAACCTGCTGTGTCAGGCTCTGCTTCCAGGCATCCTGGTTTTGGTGAAGTTGTCACAGTGAGGGCACATTCACCCCCCACAGAAAATCCAGATTTCTACAGAAATGCCCCCACAAAGCTTAAATCCACTTTGTTATTTCCACCAGCATTGCTGCATTGCTGAAATATTCACCACAGAGAGAAAATCATCCAACAGCACCACTGCCATAACCACAGCATTCTGTAGGTGTGCATGAAGTAGATGCATGCTGGAATAATCCTTAAGATTAAAAAGACTCACACATTCCCATCAAGTCTTTGCTTATTCGTTCATCTTCAAGAATCAAGCACATGTAAACCGACAAAAATCCTTCTTTTTTTAATTTATTATTATTACTTCCAGCTTATCATGAATAGTGCAATTTGGGAGGGGGAAGCTTGTTTCTGCTTTTTTGCTTCAACAGATTCTTCACACATTTTCTATCACATGCCGAAAGCTCAATGAAAAGAAAACAAAGCCCACAAATAACGTAGCTAATTCAGGTCTACGTCATTTCTCCACTCAGCATCTTGCTGGAGAGAAAGGAGAATCATGGCATATACCATAGGTAGGTATGATTTTCCCTCTGGTGCAACCTAAAGGGCCAGGGCAGGGTGACGTAGATGTTTTGGTAAACAACACAACACTCCTCTGCACTTCACCTCCAAAGCCACCGGCCAGCTCGGTGGTTTCATCCCGCTGCTGCTTTCGTCTCGCCGCAAGCGCTCAGACCGTTAACGATTATCCACAGGGTCTTCCTGCCAAAAGGCTCCTTTTTTTTGGCAGGGAAATGGTAGATGTTGGACAGTTGGCAGTGTGTTCTTTAGCGTGGCACTTCCATTTCTGAGCCCCCGGCGCTGCCGGTCGGGGGGGGGCTGGAGCGCCCAACAAAGCAGCGGCCAAAGGAAATGGTGCCCCCGGGGTCAATCCTCTCCCACCGCATGAAAATGCCAT